CTCATGAAAAATGTCGTTGATATTCATACTCTAAATTTTGAATTAAAAAAAAAAAAGAGACAAGGAATGATTTTTAACAAATTTGGGTACCATAGAAAAAAAATCGGATTTTTTTCCTCCTTCTAAATGATGATACCTTCTAGGTTTAAAACAGTTGAACAGTTTGCTAAAGGTAGACAGTCCTGTTCTGACAACCCAGGACTCGACTCTGTCTTCTGGATGAACGCCATTCATAGTACAGTAAAAACGCGTGAATACACGGTAGAATCAGGCGCTTGTCAATGTTTTGGCGTATATAGTTATTGGTATCACCTTAATTAAAGTATGTTCATTCTTAACATACTAGAGGGCGACGGAGTAAGACCTGGATAGATAGAGTCTGGGAAACATTAACCACCCACGGCATCTCCCTGACCCAAGCTCTCCGGCTGGCGACAGAGAGACGTCTCTTTCTTCCCGCGACACCCAAAAGGTATAAGCGGCGGATAAAAGTAAAAGTAAAAGTAAGGATGTTCATTCGTCTCTCCCTTATTGAAAAATAACCCACATCCGTCTATCTTTAAACAATAGTTGGGATTTTTTCGATCGTGGGATGTAGGGTCTTACGGTTGTAAAGTTAGCGAGAAAATAGTTGCCAAAGTTTGGTGACCTCTATAGCTTGAGTACCTGGAAATTGAAAATTTACATTTTTTGTACTTCTAATTAATATTTTTCAATAAAATCCACAGAGAATGTGTTTTAAAAAGGACATGAAAGGTGTTGATCCATTTTTTTTAAAAATCCGATAAAAATTGCAAACCCTGCAGGAAAATACCGATACCGTAAAATTCATTAATTTGACGAGCGCCTAATACCACCACGATGCCTCACATAGGTAAGAAATGTGTAACGACTAGGTGAATCAGGCGCTTGTCAATGTTTGAGCGTATGGAGTTACTGGTATCAACTTAAAGCTTTTTTGTCTGTCTTACTTTTGATGGAAACAGTCGGCCTTCTAGATTCTATGTCGCATAGAGGTTGAGATATTTGCGATTTACAAAGGTGTGGGTTGTCTGGTGTCAGGGAAGAAATGAGCGAGAAAATGACCACCAGTTTGGCGACTTCCAAAGCTTGATTGTCCCTGGAAACTGCGAGTTTACATTTTTGTGCCTTTGATCAAAGTCTTTCAGTAAAATCCACACAGAAAAAATGTTTTTTAATTGACGTGAAAGGTCCTGGTAAAGAAAACAAAATCTGTAAAAAATGCCAAACTGTAGCGGAAAAATGTCGGTTTCTTCGATTTCATTATTTTGACAACCCCAGATTTCACAACGATGACACTCAAAATATCTAATACTCATGACAAGTTACCTGTGGGGGCTCTCGTGGCCTAGAGGTTAAGGTGTTGGCCTCTCATTCAAAGGTCCCGGGTTCGAATCCGGGTAACGACCGAACAATTTTTTCTCTAAAAATGTCTCCTTTTACCTCCTTTCCTGCTCTCTAGCAATATTCTGTCGTCTGCTTTCGTCTCTTCTTTCTGCCCCTACCCCCTCACCTCCTTTGCCCCCTCCTCTGGGCTCCTGACTCTTTCTGTAGCCTTTCTACTGCTACTCCTTGACTCCTTCTTACAGCTGTCTTTCTGCCACACCCCTGATCTTCTGGTAGGAAAGATTTACACCTAGCTTTCTCGGACAAGGGCGAAAAATCTCGGAGGACCCTGTGCAAGTTGCGCACGTTAAAGATCCCTTGGTGGTCTAAAATCGGTAAGAGTAGGCTTCGGCCGCCACCCGGGCAAAATTCAAAATTTCCTACCAAACTAAAAGTATTAAGTGTGTACCGCGCACTCATATGACCTTATGCAGTCGCGAACGCCGTAAAACACTTACCAAAATTTTTTTTTTTATACCAAGTTACCTGTAGGTAGGTTTTAGCGCCTGGGGCCCTGGTCTTGAACTGTAGCGACAGAAGCGGGAAGAGCATGATGCTGAAGATGATGGAGATGGAGTACCAGAAACCGCCAGAAATACCATACTGGGGAGCGAGAGTGTAGTTTGTAAGGTTTTAGTAAGTTTTTAAGGCATATGCAACAAAAAAAGTTAATTAAAGTACCAAAGTAGAGGTGTTACAGAGTTTACCATACAAATGAAAGAAGGAGAGATACGGAAAGCTGATGCATGATAGGAAAGAAGGAGCAAAACACACCTGAGCACCAGCCAACAGCACAGTCGAGAAGCAAATATTTAAATTAAGTTAAAGCTAACTTTCAGTGTGGCGTTGTCTCGCTGTTGCCTATTAATGTAGGTGTTTTACGTTTCATGGACACATTTTGAAACATAGGAGGCTAGCATCTAGCCTGTCAGTCACGACCAACCCGGCTAAGGTAAATAAGACGTTCCAGCAAAAAGACAGATTTTGCTCGAAATATATTCTCCCAACACGGGAATTGTACTCTGGTCTCTTGCTTACGACGACAAAGTGCAAACCGCCGACGATTAAAATAAAATCGTTTACAAATTTATTAAAAACAACATTCACAATTCGAAAAATACCATCAAATTTGGAATCAGGTTATCAAAATTAACAAAATTATGACTCGCTGGTAAATCTTTCTATTGCTGAAGGAAGTGTCTTAAATAAATTAATTATAGTAACACTAGATAGACATACGGCTCCAGATGATCAGTTGTCTTGCATTGTAACCAATGTAAACTACCGCTCGCTCAGCGAGCCAATCACAATCCAACATTTTTGAGTTTCACCTAGACACCTTATCGCAAAAAGGACGGACAAATGACAATTTTTACTGAGTGTGTAATACGCTCTCAAGAAAGATTTTTACCTGCCTCTGGGGAGATGTGATTTAACAGGCACTAGATGCTGGAATCTCTGCATGTAATTTTTCTTTCACCAACGCGGCGTCTGTGGTCTAAAAGTTCGGCATTTTGCTTTCACACACATGAGACCCAAATTCTATTCCCAAGTGGGGAGAAAGGTGTGTGTTTGTGTGTTTGTGTGTGTGTGTGTG